ATTTTAATTTTTTTTTAAATTTCTCATTTCTTTCTCTGGTGGAAGTGCTAAGAAGCAGTGACACAAAGACAGACTTCAGAGGAAAAAGGATGAGAAGGAAAATGACATATACGATTCTCCACATGGATAACAAGACTTCAATCCCTGTAAAACTAAGATTCGACTTTTCCCCCTACGCTGCATCTTTTCTGTTCACCACATAAGCATACACTTTCTCGTTAACAAAGCACATATACACATACATGTATTCTAGCTCCAGTGGGTACGAACTTGGGCAAGTTAACTTTTTTGTGCCTTAGTTTCCTCCTATGGACATTGGGGAAATAATAGCACCCACCCAATAAAGGCTCTGTGAGAAATGAAACAATAAACGTAAAATTCTTAGAAGAGTGCCTGGCATACAGTAAGCCCTCCATAAATTATTCTTTCCTGATCTGATTTTTTCCTCACAACTCTGTGAGTTATCAGTTCACATCACCCCCCATTTTATAGATAAAAAAGTTAATGACTTGTTCAAGGAGATTCTGCTCACTAGGGGTTTGAACTTGGATCATCTTCATCTAAAGTCCATCAGAGAAGAACAGCATCCAGTAGCATGTAGGGTTAGGACCCAGCCCAGAAAGGGAAAAATCTCTTAGGATTAAGATTATCTTTGAGAGACCTTTAAATCACTCATAAAGATAGTATTCATGCTTTTGCGGGTACAACTCCATGGGATAATTCTTAAGCACACTGAGGTTCCTGAATCATGAACTAACTGCAGAACGAAACCAAGGGAAAGCCAAATGCAGCTGTTTGGACATTCAGACCATTCTGCTTCAGGAAAACCAAAGTATTTCTATTGCCTAGAAGATTTTCTCCACATTGACTTTAAAAAAATATTAGGCCTTTGTGACTTAAAATGTTATAAATAGATTAACCAGTAACAAGGCATCTTATTTGAAGCATTAGGTTCTCAAATTGGTACTTAGGTTAAATATCTGCACAGTATGACTCCACCATATACAGTGTTCTCTATTTTTGTTTGGTGAGGTGTAATTTCTTTAAAATCCAGGGATTGTCAAGCTTCGTTAATTATTGATGTAGCAGATGATTTTGACCTGTCTTTCAATGTATGACACCCCTTTTCTGAGAATTGACTTACCTGTGAGCATAATGGAGCCATATTTATATTACACGACCCATTGTCCTCCATAGTTTAGAGACAGAGGATAAATACAGGAAACACACCTGATCAATCAATATTTAATCTCAGGATGCTGGCAGTGGGCTTCAATAGATCTAGTCATTCTCTCCTGTTCTCTTGAAGGGAGGGAATATCCATTTGAGAGCTAAGGCATTATTTTAGGGTAAACACCTTCAACAATGTGTGAAAAGAAGCAGAGAAGGCTGGTTTGATGAAAAAGAATGAGTTAAAGCAAGATGTGTAGAGATAAGCAAAGGAGAGAAACAGATAAGAAATGAATGAATCAATGAGAGAGAGAGAAAGAGAGAGAGAGGACAGTTAACCAAGCACGAGGTTACTGGTGGCTAATTTCTGGTTTTAATTCCTTGTGAAGCTTAAATGTAACAGCTAGGTTTGGTTTCTGTAAATACCTACATAGCCTTTTAAGATGTGTGTGTGCCTAGTTCTTAAACTAAGTTAGTTACATTTCTTTTACTTCCATTTTTTATTTTACTTTCTAAGGCATCAGAAAGGTGTCCAACCCCTGGCCATTTGGAGACAGAAATACTATAGTTATTTCAGTTCTTAACACTTGTATTTACTTGAACTTTGGTTTACAGACTAGAAAAGATCTTGAAAAGTAATCTTGCACGTTTCCTTATTTCTAATTAATACCATATCTTAACCATTCCAGATCGATCTCTCCTATTTTCAGTAAAGTCCAGGTAATGGAATTCTATACTGTCAGTAATTCATTTTTAGTGTAAAACAGTCCTCATAACTAGGATGTATTACCTCCATGGAACATAAATAATTCTGATTTCGGTGACTCATGTTTTCCAAGCCAAACCAGGGGGCCAAATCTGTTTGCAAAAGAGTAACAAAATGGTGTTTCTGCACATCTGTTCCCACAATTTCAGGAATTCCAGTCTTACTCAAAACTGTCAAATAGTTATGAGAGTCTCCAGGAAATTTTTCCTGTGTATTCCATGAATTACTTCTCTCAGCTTTGAAGCGGCATTTGCCATTTTCTTTCTTTTCAGCTGTGGCTTCCTGCAGCAATGGCTGTTGACAAGGCTGAAGGAGCACACCCCCTCCCCCAACCAGAGCTGCCTTCCAAAATGGAGGCTCAAAGCTGATGATTCCTCCTAAAGCTTTAAATATCCCTCATATATTTCAGTACAATACCGCTTTGCTTGCTCTTTTTTGGTGACATCTTCCTCTTAGAGTTCAAGTTTAGACCCCAAATTTGGCTGAGAATAACCTGAGTGATAGACCTGGTATTTTTCTTAGAGCTTCTTCTTACCTTTGACACACCTCAGGTGCATTTGGGGCCATCTTTAGTCGCTTGGTTCTCTCTTCACTCAACAAGTTCTTCCCAGGAGTCTCTTCGGTCTGCATACCAATAGATTCTTGACAGGTCTGCCCATACTTCCTCAGACAGACCCTGGTGTGCCTGAGTTTTGGAGGCAACATCACTGGCTCAAGCTGGAATCCGAGTTACACACGCGCACAAACAAACAATCCTGCCCACGGAGTAGAACCACTTCAATACTGGTGTTTGAGGACACATACTTATACTTATAGGTAACTGTTCTTTATTAGATTCTGGCCTTATGAAGTTATTACACTTTTTTTCCACAGTGTAGTCTTTTTTTTTAAATAGTCTTTTGACCTGTAGTCTCACCAAATCTGTGAAATTACAGGTCATACTATTAGTGCATTCTTTTTTTTTTTTTTTTTTTTTGATGAGGAAGATTCCCCCTGAGCTAACATCTGTGCCAATCTTCCTCTATTTTGTATGTGGGTCACGGCCTCAGCCCAGCTGATGAGTAGTGTAGGTCTGTGCTTAAGATCCGAACCCATGAACCCAAGATGCTGAAGTGGAGCACAGAACTCAACCACTACGCCACAGGGCCAGCCCCTTTAGTACATTCTTTATGGTAATGCCAACGAGGTAAAATCCTGCAGACCTGGACATTTGGGGAGGATTCTAGGACTCTCTCTATAACCAGATGTCCGTAGTTGTCTCAGGCAAGCATCCAGTAAAATGCCTGACAAATGCTCGATATATATTTATTGAGTTGGGCTGAGTGTTCTAGCCTTAGTCAGCCTCAGACCTGACTTCAGAGATTCTGAGTTATTTAAAGAGTCTTGTTAATAGGTTTATCTCTGTACTGTCTCTTCTCTTTGCAAAATAACCCTGGTTCTAGTTTTTTCTCTTAGGTCTTATTTTCTACCTTTAATCATCTCCACGGCTGCCCTCTGGACAGTCTCCAAGTTCTCTGTGTCCACTTTGAGGTGTGAAGCACAGATTCCAAAGGCCACTTTCTGACTGAGCTGAAGGGCCTTTAGGGACCTAACCCTGACAGCTTGGCTCTTCACGGCTGTCCAAATTGGAGGTTTCCTCGCCTCCCTGGTCCTCTTATGAAGTATCTCCTGATCCAAACTTGCTCTGAAAGCGTCCCTCCATGAGCCCTTTCCACTCTCCTTTTCCTGTTTGCTCCACCTCTCTTCTTGCTCATCTTGAAGGCTGTGCAATCCCAGATTGCCTGCCAAAGTGCGAGCAGAGAAACGATGGTGATGGCTAAGGAGCCCGGAGGAAGGAAGGCTCTTTACGAGGAGGCTGTCTCTCAAAGGTGCATTAGGTCTTCTTGACCTCTCTTTTGCTCTCTCCCTTCCTCCGTGGATCCTCTAAACCTTGAGTCTCTGCTTGCCCTACATTCTCTGTACTCACAGAGGATCAGGACCTCCAGGGCAACCTGAGCCTGTCCTTGGTCAGAAATGATCCAGGCTCCAAAGGGTTAAGGTCGGGAGCCTTGATGGATGGAGAGGATTATTAGTTACCATTTAGAGAGCCAAGGAAGGGTTCCTCCCTGTTTCCTACACTCCTTTTTCATAGGATCTCTGGCCATGGCCATGGATAGGAAAAAAAATAAAAAGAGTGGGCCGGCCCCATGGCCAAGTGGTTAAGTTCGTGCATTCCGCTTTAGTGGCCCAGGGTTTCACCGGTTTGGATCTTGGGTGCAGACAGGACACCGCACCTCACGCCATGCTGAGGTAGCATCCCACATAGCACAACCAGAAGGACCTACAATTAGAATATATAACTATGTACTGGGGGGCTTTGGGGAGAAGAAGAAGAAGAAGAAAAAAGAAGAAGATTGGCAACAGATGTTAGCTCAGGTGCCAATCTTAAAAAAAAAAAAGCAGAAGAAAAAGGAAAAAAAGTTTTCAAAGTAATTTAGAAAGTTCTTGTAAACGCTTGTGTTTTCATTTAGCAGCATGAATCCAGGACAGCAACAGACCTTGAGAGGCAGCAACCAACGGGGAATTGAGTGGAAAAAAAATAGAAATCCTAGACTCTCCAAGTGTCCAGCTTTTTGGTGGGGGAGGTAGAGAGGAGGAAGGGATTAAATCAAATCTTTGTGGGGAGGGCTCAGCTCTGGGCTTTCATGGATAAAACACTAAAGCTTCAATTGGAAGAGAATCCAAACCTTAAGTTGCGCTTATAGCTTTAGCTCAAGTAAGAAAAATGAGGTGGGGGGGTCTCAGGGTGGGGACCAAGTCTTAGATGGAGCGGGAGGACTTGGGGATGGATACAGTGGGGAATAAGGCGGAAGAGAGCTATGTCTTTAAGTCTGTCCTATGGTTATACATATTTTTTTCTTCTATGAATGGGTTTTGCTGTAAATTATAGCTTTGCTCGTGGTCCCTTGGGTCAAAAGAAATAGATTCTAAACAGAAAACAGCTCTGATTGGTGACTTTCCTTCTTCCCTCCCCAACCCCCTTCCTAATTGAAACCAAATGTGCAATATATTGGATGCTGGGATCCCTGGCGCTTTCCCAGGAATCCTCAGAATGTGAGGTTTCTCTCAAAGGCATCTTGCATCAGCCTGTGGATGTATGCCTACCACCGTGCTCCTTCACCGGCAAAGTGGAAAAAGAAGCGTTTCACAACAAATTCTTCCTTTTGGGTTGCGGGAACGCAGTGGATTATAGCTCTGTTTTCTTCCTTCAAAACTGTGCACTCCTGGATGAACGTAAGTTATGTGTTTTTCTTCCTTCAATTTTTTTTTTCTTTTCTGAAAATGAAAGCTCTGAATATACTTTTCCTGGTGTCTCAGGAAACGTTTTAAAAAGGAGGCAGAAGGGACTTTCAAGTCAGGAGAGGAAGGGAAGGGATTGGGGCACCATAGACTCGAGAAATCCAAGATCTCATATTTTTGGGGGGCTGGATTTATGTTATGGAGGGAGAATAAAGAGCATTAAGAACCAAAGAAGACTGAAGCAAAGTAAAGGAGTCCTCGCAGCTGCAAGATACAGTAAACAGCGTTAGCAGAGTTGAAATCGTTGGCAGGCCAGACAGGCCGATTGCAGAGCTGATTTTGGGATGGAGAAACTAGAGCAGGGAGCTAAGTTTTGGGGCATTTAGCAGTGGTGTTCGAGCGTCCTGAGTTTTGGAGAGGGCAACTTTTTACATTTTGGTTTTTTCAGGGGAGTTCCTGACTTCATTGTGAGAAGGGCAACTTTGGATGAGGTTTGGGGTGGCCAGGCGGGGGGCTGGGTGGGTCGAGCATTTTTCAGTTGGGGACGAGGAAATACAGCTGCCCAGCCTCATCCTCCCCGCCTCGCTGGCCTGGGGCGCCTCTCCCTTTGTTGCCGAATGACTTGGGACTGTTTGCAGTTGGGACCTCTCAGCCCTGGCCAAGGTTTGAGAGTCCCATCCAAGGGGAAAGAGAATTTTTCCAAGTGGCTGAAACTCCCAGGCCAGCCATTTGAGGCGAGAGTTCGCACTGTTCAAGCCAGTAGGGGTTCAGCACCATTTTGCTGACTGCTTGCCTTCTGCATCCTTTCCCTGGGGGAACACAGAGGGAGAGTTCTGAAAGAGCCTTGGAGATCTTGTCTGATCCGCTCATTTCACAGAGGTTGGGAATGATAGAAGGGGGACTGACTGACAGGGTCACACAGTGAGTTAGTTGTGGGGCTGACAGTGAAATTGAGGTTCTGTTTACTGCTCATCCAGTGCTATTTCCACTCCATACCTCGCGCTCATGGTCCCTCTTAAGGCCATATATCTACTTTCATGTTCATTTCACGGCTGAGATAATAGAGGCTGTTTAATTAACAAGTAACCAGGAGGATGTTGGTTATCAGCAAGAGAGGATGATGCTAATGGTGGTTCACCAGCTAAGGGTACCTATGGTTATGTTCGGTTGTGTGTATGGAAATAAAAAAAGCTATCATCTGAGTATTTACTATGCACCAAGCTCCATGCTCAGAACTTTACATACCTTATTTGATTGAATCCTCAAAGTTCTTAAGGCATTCTTCCTATTTTATAGATAAGAATTTTAAGACTTCGAGAAGGGAAAGGAGTTGTTCAAGGAAATGCAGCTAGTAAGTCTGAAACTCACGTATGTCTGATTCGAAAAGCTGTGCTGTGAATCACTCTGCAATAATACTCCCCCCCAACACACACACATTTGATTACTTTTCGAGTCAGATTCCACGTTTCCCTCGGTGACCAGGAGGCGAAGGTGTCAGGCGAGAGGAGCCGCCGGGAGTCTCTCTTGGAGGCTGCTTCTGTGCTTGGACGAGTATTTATCTGGATGTCAGAAAGGGGCTGAGAACGAGGGCATCTCCATGCGCTAATTCTGACTGCTTGGTATAGCCTTCCCTTTGTTATGCAAAGAGCCTGGGATTTAGAGTCAGAAGATCCAGGTTCGAGTTCTGGCTCTACCTTTTACTACTCGGCAAAGTTGCTTTACCTTTCTGCACCTCGACCTCTGTATTGATAACGCAGGGATAACAGCAATACTCTTTGGAATTATGGCTTTAAGAGACATTGTGCATGAATGTGTCCTGAAGGCTATGAAGGGCTTAACCACATCAGTTTGTCTGATGACGATCACTGAACGTTGGAATGTAACGTGAGGCGGCCTCTGCTATGTGGGGTCTGGCCAGCAGTGCTGATGCCGGCAGGAGGGCCATTGTGTTTGGCTGTGTGTGAAACTCTGAAATGGGTAGCTTCAGCCTCAGTGCCCATCTCTTTTGAATGGAAGCAATTCCTCGTCACAGAGAATATTCCTGGGTTTTCTATCTGAAACTTGCCTCTGGTGGCCTAGCGGGGCTATGATTCCTTGTCCCAAGAAAGCAGTGGAGGCTGTACGACATCATGTTGTTCAAGCATCCTCTGCTTGGGTCTTCTTCATCTCTGAACAAGAAGGGTTTAGTCAGGATCAGTCCACTGGTTTCTCCTCAAAGGAGACTGGCTGTGGAGGAGCTTCATATCTAGCTGAGGATGGATCCTTGACCCAGGACCTCCTGGTCACCAGCAGGCACATTTCACCCTGTCCTTTACCTCATGTGTCCTCTTCTGTGCTTGTAGTTAGAAGGAATGCAGCTGTTCCTGGGGGGCAGGGGTGGGGGGCCAGCAGGCAGTGGGGAGGCCCCTGCCTCTGCTTCTGGCTGAGATCTGTCTACTTTATAAACACTAAAGGTAGGGGAAGTTTGAAAGGTGTTTCCAGAATCTTTTACTTAGAATACTCAAATTGAAACTCCCAACAGTATCCATGTCTGTGAGACTATAGAAAATATATATATTGGTCTCTGCCCCCAGGTCACAGGACAGAGATTCTAAAATCCTCGTAATTTCCTAAGTGATAAGAGCAGTAGGAGCATCTTTTCTTCTAATCTCTGGTCTTTGACTCCAGTTCCTGACAAAGAGCTCTTAAATCCCTCAAAATTTCCTGGGTGATAGCAGTGTCTTTTGTTTTAATAAGGTCACTCTGGGTGGACTCCCAGATGGGGGCTCGTCACCAGAAAGACCAAACCATGATTAGAAGCTTGGAATTTTCAGCCCCACCTCCCATCTTCCAGGAAGGGGAAGGGGTTTGGGGACTGACCTAATGATTGATCACGCCTAGGTGATGAAGTTTCTATGAAAATTCCAGAAGTATGGGACTTGGGGAGTTTCCAGGTTGGTGAACACATCTATGAGCTGGGAGGGTGGCACACCCCCAACTCCACAGGGACAGAAGCTCCTGCACTTGGGACCCTTCCAGACCTTGCCCTATATGTCTCCTCATCTGGCTGTCCATCTGTATCCTTTATTATATAATAAACCGGTAAATCTACGTGTTTCCCTGAGTTCTGTGAGCTGTTCTAGAAAATGGGTGAATCCAAGGAGGGGGTTGTGGGAACCTCTGATTTGTATCCAAGTCAGACAAAAGTTGTGGGTAACCTGGAAACTCACTACTTGTGGTTGGTGTCTGCACTAAAGGGACAGTTTTGTGGCACTGAGCTGTTAACCTGTGGGTGGGGTCTGCCCCAACTCTGGGCAGTTAGTGTCAGAATTGCTTGGTGTGGAAAACCCACACATCTGTTGTCAGAAATATTGTGAGCGTGTGAGTAGAATAAAACTGAGTTTTTCCTAGACAACGTCCAAGCACAGAGTGGGAGTGTCGTCTGAAGGAGCCTCACCATCTCCCCACTTTCCCCTAGCTTCTCTGTTAACTCACTGCTTTCTTCCCTTTTTATATAGTCACTTTGCAGACTTTGTCAGATGAATTATCTATCACATGTAATGAATCTAGTCAGACCTTTCCATGTGACTGCATTTTTAATAGACACACTAAAAAATTAGTGGCCTCGCCCCATATATTAATGTCACACCATTTTAAATTAGCGTTAACTCTCAGACTCTCTTCCCAAGTTCCTTTGTAAGATCCACTTTCAGGCACTTTACTTCACCCACCCCTCAAACACGCCGCCCAAAAGCACGTCTCACAGGCATCCAGAAAGCTAACACCCGTCTAAAAACAGACCTCCACAGACATGCTGAGGTCTTGTGCCAGCTGACATAAGTGCTGACCTGTCTGCAGCGCAGACACACTGGACTCTTTGTGCCCCTTGACCTGTTTGAAGCCGTGTAACATATGAAGCAACTCTCTCCCAACAATGACCACTCAGTCCAGATAGATGTCCACCATCCCCAGGCATCCGGAGCTTCTCTGAATTCAGCAACCATCCACGAAGGCTGTCACCAGTAAATTAGAAAGCTTGGGTAGGACTTGAGGATCTCCAGATCAGTTACACAAGGATGTCTTCAGGTGGGGGGTGGGAATCAGTCCTTTGAAGCATTCCCCATGTGATTCTAATGTGAACCTCCACTGATAAATCTCCACGTTTGTTGCCTCAGCCATTCTTTAGCATGGAGTAAGGGCAGGCTTGGGAGAGAAACCAACCATGGTCACATCGCCTCCCCCATTGTCTTCCAGAGAATTTAACTGTCAGCGCTCCCCTCCTCTGGTTGGCTTACCTCCCTTTTCTGGCTGGCTTCTCTGATCATGGTTGAGACCTCCTCACGATGTACACAACCTCCCTTTCGCCCTTAAGTGACAGCTTGTCCAGGCCTCAGACTCTTTCCAATGTGAAGTCAGACTGACCTGGCTTCCAATCCTTGCTTTATACTCACTGGCCATGTGACCTTGGGCAACTGCTTAAGCTCTCTAAGTCTCAGTTTCCTACTCTGTAAAATAAGGATTATAATTCCCATCTAATAGTTATTACAGATGCAACTTGTGAGTACTTAGTGTATGTTTAGCATGTAGTTAATAAATGATGTCGATAATGATTTTTTTTTTTTTTTTGCTGAGGAAGACTCATCCCAAGCTAACAGCTGTGCCAATCCTCTTCTATTTTTTCAGTATGTGGGCCACCAACACAACATGGCTGCTAACAGAGCAGTGTAGGTCCAAGCCCAGGAACTGAACCTAGGCTGCAGAAGAAGAGTGCGTTGAACTTAAGGCCACCGGGGCTGGCCTGATGATGATTATTTTTATTACTAGTTCAGCACTGTTGCTTTGGCTACCCTTGTTCAACCGCATAGCACCAGCCCAAGTATTTTCCCATAGCCCATTCCTCAGTCCAACAACATTCTTCCTCGCCAACAACATTCACCCACCAAAGTCCGCTTCTGCCAAGAATACTCCCCAAAGTGCTTTCACAGTGGAAAGGACATGGGTTTAAATTCTGGCTC